TGAAAATTTCTAATACATGAGAAAACATTGTGCAACACATTCAAATCCATAGCTCCACTGAAGCCCAATATGATGGCAGGGTGAGGAGAGGCTCGAGGAAGTGACAGGAATGCTGGGTTGACCCTCAATGACAAGTTTGAATTCTCAAAAACACCTATTGCATTTTTGGGCCTTAGTTTTCAGGCTGCAGAAATAATGGGAAACCTAGAGAGGACAGAGGCTATGTGGAGTTTTCCCTGCTCTGAACCCCAGTGGTTCATGGGAATGGTGAAACAGGTATAAAAATTCTTGCTCCACCTCGTCCAAGTTAAAGTGACACTCAGTTAACTCTTGATGCAAAATCAGGCATGGTGGTGCTCTGAGTATCAACATTAGAATCATAGACTCCTTACAGTATGGAAGCAGGCCATTCAGCCTATCAAATTCATGCCAACCCTCCGAAGAGCATCCCAACCCAGACCCACCCCCACCCCTGTTATTGATGCTCTATCAAGTTTCCTTGTCAAAGTCTAATCAAGTGGACGAGAAATCTGTGGAATGTGGGAATATAGAGAATATCAAGAATATAGACAGTCAGGAGATGATTTGAATGATGTTTGCAGAAGAGTGCGCTGAATTTTCTTTGAACTTCACTAGGCTTCAGAAATTGGGATCATTTCTGGTCCTAATCATGCTACCCACCAGTTTAGTGGCCAAGTGCAGAGGAAGCCTGCTAATATCATCCAATTAAAAATGATGTATTATGGGGGCGGGGAGGGGTTTGGGCATTATTGCAGCATCCATTATGTCACTGAGAATGCTGCTGAGCACTCAGCAGCAGGAGCTGAGGGGAATCCTTAAGCCTCCATAAGTCTGAGGAGAGTATCTGGCACTGCAGTAATTTGGTCATCAGAGACATCAGTCTCCAAGAGATCCACACTCACTGGTGAGGCTGGGACCTGGGCAGCTGTGGCCCTGCCATCTCGTTCGCACATGGCTCCCACCTACTGCTGCGAAAATGCCTTGCCTTCACTGCTGGAAGGCTGGCACAGCAAGGGCTCTGTATGACATTGCCAACATTGACAGGCGGTGTGAAAGGTGCCAATAATTCAATAATTCACTCAGCAACCTAATTGGCATCCTGCTGCGGATGAGTGGGCTGCCAGCACAGAACAGTGTACCATGAGAAAACTGGCATGATGCCCTTGGTCAAAATTTGCTTGGCACCTCTATCCCGTTCTTCACATTTCCCATCCCTCCCTCCATTCCAACAAATGGCAGGGAAAATTCAGTGCAAGGTTTCTCTCATTTACCTATTTCCACTGGCCAGACAGCCTAACATCAGGAGCATATCTTAAAATCTGGAGCCAGATAACTCAATTCTGTAAAAGGCATTTGATGTTAAATCAATTATAAATTTTCAATGTGGATAAGTTCATGTCAAACAAAGCTATTAAGGGATATTATGTAAAGGTAGCTATACAGATTAAAGAGCAAAGAACAGTACAGCATAGGAGCAGACCTTTCGGCCCACTAAGACTGCACCAACACATGATGCCCCTTCTAAACTCTTGCCTCTACGCGATGTGTATCCCTCTATTCCTATTCATATATCTGTCAAGATGCCTCTTAAATGTTACTATTATACCCACCTTCACCACTTCCTCTGGCAGCGCATTACAGGCACTAACCACCCTCTCTGGGGGAAAGAAAAACTTGCCTGTCACATCTCCTTTACATTAATCCCCTTTTACTTAAAACTATGTCTCCTAGTAATTGACATTTCTAACCCTGGGACAAAGACTTTGATGCTTCATGCCTCTCATAATTTTATGAACTTCTATCAGGTCGCCCCTCATCATTCACCATTCAAATGAAGACAAATCAAGTTTGTTCAATCTCTCCTCATAACTAATACCCTCCAAACCAGGCAACACTTGTTAAATCATTTCTGTACCCTTTCCAATGCCTCCACACCCTTCCTGTAGCATGGTGACCAGAACTGTACATAATATTCCAAAAGTGGCCAACTAAAGTTCTAGACAGCTGCAACGTGACTTGCCAATTATTATACTCTGTGCCCCACTTGATGAAGGCAGGCGTGCCACATGCCTTCTTGACTAACTTATTTACTTGTGTTGCCACTTGCAGGGAACAGTGGACCTGTAGACCTAGATCCCTCTGTATGTTGATGCTATGTCAGGGATCAGTCAAGTTCTTACAAACCTCACACATGAATGATGTTTCACATGTGCAAACATGTGGGAAATCTCATGCCGTAGGTGTGTCACACCTTGTTGAAGGAATGATTCTAAAAATCCCACATCAGTGACGACAAAATTGATCAGCTTTACACAAGAAATCTATTCATTGTAGGAAGAGAGGTAACTTTTCAAAGATGTGTTACAGTCTAAAGAGCACACCAAGCAACAATCCAAACCATTCCCATGCCAACATAGATATTCATGTCTTGGAGAAGATTCTTCAACAACAAATCAATGTTGTAGTGGAAGAAGTTTCTTGATACAGGAAACAACTGACTTTAGGCAAACATCATCATCTGAAGTAGATACTAATGACAAGAAAGAAGAAACGACCCAACTTGCCCACACATTCCTGCAGTTACATCAAGTTCAGACATTTCAGCAAGCTCTGCCAATCTAATGGGAGCAAGCAGAGAGAGAGAGGAACCTCGGCAACTTTATTTGAAAGTGTTTTTATACCTTGTATATCCAAGACCAAACTGACACATGTACAACTCAGACCAAGTCCTAGTCTGGGGCAGGAGTAGGACGTAAAAGGTAAAGACTAAATCATAGTATATGCTGTAAAAAGAAGTAATCTAGGCAACTTATTTGAGAATATGACCAGTTTATGATGGGTGTAAAAAGAAAACTTGGGGAAGAGATTTGCATAAGGGATTATGGAGCCTAGAACAATCTTGTGATGATGTCACAGAGCTGCACCTCAGTGGGTATAAATAGCATAGTATGGGTAAGATTTAAACAAGTTGTTGATTGAAGTAGTTGATTGGCTTCACCCGTGTGAAAGATTGAGATGTTGAGAGAGAGAAATGTGCTGTGATGCAAATGAAGTAGACAGACTAGCATTAGATTTTAGTTTACAAAATTGTCTTTTAAGAATATAAAATTAAAAGTAAAATTAGAACTGAATATTTAGGTTTAATATGTAATAAACAGTGTTAGAAAGAAACCCATGCCTGAAAACAGTTCTTGATCTTGCCTTCTCTTCAAAAATACGGTTATGGGTAGAAAACCACACAATGAAATAAATCAACATCCTGTGGTTACCTTTGACCAGAAACTCAACTGGATGAGCCATGTAAATACTATGGCTAATTATAGGCCAGAAATCCTGCGGGAAGTAGCTCAGCACCTGCCTTCTCACCATCTATCCACCTTCTATAAGACACAAGTCGGGAATGTGATGGAATACCTTGCCTGGATGAGTACAACTCCAACAGTACTGACAAGGCTTGACAGCATCCAAGACCATTTGATTGGTGGAATACTACCTCCAACATCCACTCCCTACACCACTAATGCTCAGCAGCAGCTGTGTGTACTATCTACAAGATGCAGTGCAGCAACTCATCAAGACTTCTTAGACTACCTCCAAATCCTGCAGCTTCTACCATCTAGAAGGACAAGCACAGCAGATACATTGGAATACCATCAACTGCAAAGTCCTCACTATCCTGACTTGGAAACATATTACCATTTCTTCAGTGTCAATGGGTCAAAATCCTGGAACTCCCTTTCAAACAGCATTGTGGGTATGAACTGCCTTCTCAAGGGCAATTATGGATGGAGAACGAGTTAACCTTACCAGAGATGTTGAACTTATAAAAATCTTTTTTCTTGGACAGTTAAAGATTTCTTAAAACTATAAGACATAGGAGCAAGAATAGACCATTCAGTCCTCAGGATTGCCCATTCTAAAAGATTATGTCTGATCTGGTCCAGTTCTCAACACTTCTTTCATTCTGGGTTACCATTGGCCTCTATTCCTGCAATATTTCAAAAATCTATGTACCTCTCCTTTTAATAATTTCAGTGGTCTAGTCCAGTTCAGGGTGGCACAGTGATTAGCACTAGTGCCTCACAGCATCAGGGTTCGGGGTTCGATTCTACCCTCGGGTGACTGTCTGTGTGGAGTTTGCACATTCTCCCCATGTCTGCGTGAGTTTCCTCCGGGTGCTCTGGTTTCCTCCAACAATCCAAAGATGTGGGGCTAGGTGAATTGGCCATGCTAAATTGCCCAGTAGTGTTCATGGATGTGTAGATTACGTGGGTTATAGGAGGATGGGTCTGTGTGGGATGCTCTGAGGTTTAGTGTGGACTTGTTAGGCCGAAGGGCCTATTTCCACACTGTAGGGATTCTATGACTAACTCTCTGCAGTTGAGAATTCCAGACATTCACTACCTTTTATGGGACAAAATTCCTTTGCATATCACTCTAAATGAGTGTCCCTTTCTTCTATAACTATATCCCCCTAGTTTGAGATTCGCCCAGAAGTGGAAAAGTCTTCAGAACTTCAACCTTGTGTGGGGGCTTTTGGGGTCATAAACTGAATAGTGTCCTCGTGTGTCATTGACCCAATGATTGTATGAAATTAACAGTGTAGTGGCTCACTGTCACTTTACCAAGGGCAATTAAAGATGGGCAATACATACTGGTTGAGCCAGGGTGCCCACATCCTGTGAAATGAAAGAGAAGTATTCATGTAGGGGGCTACAAAAGATGATAACAACAAAGCAGAATTAATATAGAAGACACACTGTGTAATAATAGGAATCTATTGATTAATTGTCCAATCCACCCTGTACTCTCAGTTGGATGTTCTGCTGTCAGGCAAAACCTGCTGTTCATCTTGTTTCTGTCCTGGACTATGTTGGAAGTTTAAATGACTCATCAAGATTGATGTTTTTAATGTTAAAGAAAAATGTGCTCCTGTCACTTTTACTTTCAAAATGTTCCTCCTTTCTTTTCCCTCACAGAAAGCGTGACTGAAGTTAAAACAGATATCTACGTTACAAGCTTTGGGCCAGTGTCTGACACAGACATGGTGAGTTTGTGAGAAAATAGACCTCTGGTCTCCTTGAATGGTAGGACTGTGGAATGAGAAGATGGGGGTGTATGTCTCTCAGACAGAATGGGGTGGGGTGAGACAAAAGGTGTATATGTGTCTCAGACACAATTGGGAGGCAGCTATGAGAAGATGGAGATATATTTCTCACAGCTGGGGATGTGGCGAGGAATTAGGGGTGTATGTCTCACAGAACGGGGGCGGTGCTGTGAGAGGATGGGATTGTGCATCTCGCAAACAGAGTGAGTGTGTGAATAGAGTGAAAAGATGGTGACGTGGGAATCAGTACATTTTTGGAAGGCATGCACAAAGCAAGCTGATGGATACTGACTTATAGGTGTGTAGTTGTGCACCCTGGTTCTGGTGGGCTCTGGACTGTAGTCGCATCCAGCCGTTTTTCAGGTTCTCAGAACATTCCCACGTTTCCTATGTCTGGACGACCAGCCTGCCCCAGATTTCCTGTGTCTGGATGATGAGGCTAGCCCAGATTTCCTGTTGGATGGGCTGGTCTCTGCTGTGAATATTCTAGTTTTGATAGAGTAAATCAATGGTTTAAAAAGTTAATGCTCAGATCTGATTCAGAGGGGATTTGTTTATTTTCATCCAATGGTGAGAATTATTGTCAAATGTAAAATATACCTAAAGTGCATTGTACCAAAAATTGTCTGAATCAAAACCTACAAATTACTAATAGCAACATAAAAACTGAGAAAGACAATTTTACAGTTATACTACTGTAGTTAGTTCTGAATGGACCAGTTGTTACCTTAAAAGAGTTCCTTAGAAGAATTGGAGGCTGCAAAATTTCAAGCAGCTTGTTGTCTAGAAGCATAACTGGAACAGATTTAAGAGGCTGTTTTGTAAAAATAAGGATAAGAATATGGAAAGGATCTTATTTCCATCCAGAAAAATTACTGCCTGAAATGTTTCTTTAAGGAATTATTTTAAGGTAAATGACATATGGTGTTCCCATAAATCCATCTTTCCCAATGGTAATGCTCTCACCATGAAAAGTGTCATGCATGGATTCTTAAAGGTAAAGATATTTTTTCTTAAATGCCCCCCTAAATCTCCTGCACCTTACCTTAGTTCTGTGCTCCCTGGTTATTAAGCCCGCCACTAAGGGGAAAGAATATTCCTGACCATCTGTGCACCCTATTTTATACATCACAATCATGTCCTCCTCTCAGCCATCTCTGTTCTAGGGGAAACAACTCCAGCTTATGTGTTGAACAAAGGCAAAATACTGAAAATGCTGGAAATCTGAAACAAACAGAGAACACAAGACAAACACAAGCAGGTCTGGCAACATCTTTGGAGAAACAGTTAATATTTTGAATAAAAACCGAAAGAACTATGGATGCTGTGAATCAGGAACAAAAACAAAATTGCTGGAAAAGCTT